GGGCGGCGGAGGGCGCAGGCGCGGCCGGCGCACGGCGGTTCGCGGGCGCCGCGCTCGTCGACGCGGCGGCGGGATTCGTCGTGCTTCATGCCGACGGCTTGTTCGGCCAGATCACCGGCGTGGCGCCCTCCGCCGCGGCGGGCGCGGCTCTGTGGGACCTCATCGGCGGGGACGGCGTGGCCGAGCCGGCCGCGGCCGCGGCGCGCGAGGGGCGGGCGTTCGAGGCCAGCGCTTGCCTGCACAGGATGGGTGCGTCCATGCACCTCAAGCTCAGCTGCGAGCCCGCCTGCCCCGCCGCGGCGGCGCCACCGGCGGCACAACCGGCGCCGGCGGCGGTGCAGGGCAGCGGCCTCGGGGGCGTGCTGTTGTACCTCGTGCACGTCGACTTTCTTGGCGCCTCGGACGCCGCAATGTGGTTGCCCTGCGGGGCCCCGCGGCGATTCAGGCTGCTGGACGAGGATGGACAGTAGGACCAGGACCCGCGCTGCTGACGGCCCTGCGCACAGGGGTGTGTGCGGCACCGCGCGATCGCCGCGCCGCACCGCGGCGCTCCCGCTCGCAAGCATGGCGGGTGCCGCTGCGGTCGCGGGCTGCTTGGCGCCGCCGGCGCGCCGCGCAGCGTGGTTGGCGCAGCCAGCCCGCAATAAACGGAGCTGCAGGGGCGGCACAGCTCACTGGTGTCTTTCGACGCAGCGCCCCATCCCCTGAGCACCCTCAAACTGAGAGCAGCCCGCCATCAATTGTGAGCCGCAGTTCAGGCCTGGCAGGTGGAGCGCCTACAGGCCTAATCATTGAGCCGCAGACGGCCGCAGCAGTGGCAGCCGCCGTTGTGCGCGGTTGGTGAGAGTCTCAGCTGCCAAAACTGAAACGGATTGTGAGTTTGTACAGCAGCACGCTCTGCCGGCCGGCGTGGTCACAGCTGGCTGCTGGTGTGTGGGTGCCACTGTGACGGGCATGAAACCCCTGCCTCGCCATTTTTCTATCATTTCGGCATGACTTGATTTGGGCCGGTGTGCGCGGCAGCCCGCCGCGCCTCGCGTGCCGCTTATACCTGCTCAACCATCAAAATTTATGGGATCACTTGTTCCCCCTTGCTGGGATGCGTGCTGCTGGCGTCTGGATGGCGGGTGCGTTTGCTGCAGCCAGCTAAAATGAAAGTACTGAGGGACCCGTGGGTGTGCCTGCGCCGCGAGGCTTGGATGGCGTGCTATTTGATACAGTGGGATCGTGTATGGGCCTGCCTCCTTCCGTGGTTCGTGCGCACTGCTCGCTTGATGCTGAAACTCTGCCGTTACGCATTCTTCCGCTCGTGCCGCCGCGGCCGTCGCGCGCTGCTGCGTCTCTCATGCACCGCTGCCATCTGGGCGCGGCTGCCAAGAGGCGCGGCAGTGTATTGAGGCGGCGTGAAACAGGGTGGGCCGGATCCGTGCCAACATTTCACGACGCGGATGACGCGACGTGGCATAGCTGGCGCCCACCCATGCACTGCGGGCTAATCTGTTGCATCGCACCGCCCTGCGCCCATGACTCGTGGTCGTGTCGGGCTTGTGGTTGGTCGCACCTGCCAGCACTTTGCGGGCCGTGGCGTTTGGTGGACGCGAGCCGCAGGCACAGCTGCCTGCACGCTTCTCTACTGAATGCTTCCATTATTGAGCAATTACCTGCCCGTGGGCGAGGAGCAGGTGCCGGTGGCCAGTGGCGTCACCGAAGCGAAAGAGCAGCAGTCGGTGCGTGTTACTTTCGACCCCTGTCTGCACCTGCTGCAATCTGTCTGATTGGCGCGTCATATTTGTGCCGGATCGTCACCAAAATCAATAATGAGTCGGCCCGACCATGCCGCCCGCTCAACCTCGCTTGCAGCCGCCGCGGGCAGCAGGCATTGGGAGCGCGTGGGGTGTCGGGCTCGCGAGACCCCAAACATATAATCATAGGGGTCGTGGGACAATCAGGACTGGCCGCTTTGCAGCAGCCTCAGGTGCTTGCTGCTGGTGCGACAGACAGCAGCCTGGTGTGCCTGGCATAGGGTGCTGCTGGGCATCAAAGCGCGTGCGCGGCGCTGGCACCGTGTAGCCGGCCACGCGGGTATGGCGGAGTGCGAGCGATGGGCAGCTGAAAGGCAGAACGGGGGTGCAGTGCACCACACTCGCGCGTTGGACAAAGTGAGGAGTTCCCAGTCATCCCAAGCCCTGCTTAACGGCTCCCTGTCTGGGATTGGCCGCCACTACCACAGAGCAATTTCGGTGCAAGCGACACTTAGAAGCGAAGAATGGAGGCACGAGGGCATGTAAGGCTGCTGGCGGCGTCTTGCGCATGCCATGAGTCGACGGCGAGGACGGTGAGGATGGCACCGCACTGCAGTATGATCATCTACCAGAACGGCCATGGTTCAGTCCGCGGATCGTGGTGTTGTCGCCTCACTGCGATACTACAAGTATTGAACGCTCATGATGCAACTCAACACTTCCAAAGGGGCGCACCGGAACCCCCACCCTGCAATGGATCGTCTTCAGCGCGTGCAGACTGCTCGCACGTCACCTGTGGCATGTAAAACGCTATGCAGCCCTTCTTCAAGTTGCCTGCAGCATGGCAGGCAGCAGCCGAGGGCCTCACAACCGTGGCGAAAAGGGCCTGGTCACCAGGCTGAACGAGCACCATTTGAAGCCTCCAGGCAAGGTCACAGCGTTAATGCGTTGTACAGAGCAAACTAATGACAATTCGATGCGGTGGAGTTGCCAGCCCCCACGGTTGTGTGGCAGCCCACGGCCTCGCGGCCTCGCCGTCCGATGCGCACTGCCTGACACACCAGCGTTCAGCTCCGCGACCATCCACTGCATGGACGCCCCGCGCCTGCCTCTACCCACAGGACGGGCCGTGGTCCAACGGCAGCGGCAAGCGCCGCAGTCGAGGTGGCCCAAAGCGAGGGCGGCACCGCGTCTGCGACACAGCAGCCAGCCCCCGCCCCACAGGCTGCGGCGCCGTCATTCTCTTTTGCGCGCGCCTGGTGGCCCGTCCACGACCTCAACTCGATTGGTAAGCGCCACATGCAGTGCGCCTGTAAGCCGCAAAGGCCGGCTTGCCGCTGCGTGCGCAGTCTCTCCAGCAGCAGTCGACCGCGGGAACGATCACCTATGTCGTGTCATCTGCCAGCACGGCTGGCGGGGGCTGAGGAGCGGCTCTTTGTGCCCTGCTGCGCCTAATTAAAAGTTTGTGTGTGTGTGTGTGTCTCTCTCTGTGTGTGTCTCTCTCACAGACACGACACACGCCCGCTTGCGCTTTTCACACTCGCACGCACACGCCGCCACAATTCGTCGCACGACCCTGCAGACCCCAGCCGCCCCCATGCCATCGAGCTGTTGGGCAAAAAGCTGGTCCTTTGGCGCGACGGCGGCGGCGCGTGGCGCTGCCATCAAGACGCGTGCCCCCACAGGTGCGGCGGCGCCCCGCCCGGCCCAACGGCCCCGAATAGCCCTTTGGGCCGAGGCAGTGCCCACGTGCATCCGGGTCACACTGTTACCAGGAGACCCACGCAGCCGCAGGCTGCGTGATGTCAAAAGTGCAGCATTGAGTTTTGAATACAGCAAAAGCATCCGTGCGTCTGGCATGTGAGTAGTCAAGACCGCAGAGGTGTTCGCGCTCTGCGGTGTGCGCCCTGCGGGGCCGCCCTCAATCAATGCATGCCCTCACCTTCGCCTGCGCCCACCTGCGGCTGCGGTCGACCCCGCCGACCCCGCCGCCGCGGCCGCCGCCCCCAGGCTCGCGCCGCTGTCCGAGGGCCGAGTCGAGGGCGGGCAGCTGGAGTGCAGCTACCACGGCTGGCGCTTCGACGGCGCCGGCCGCTGCACGCGCATCCCGCAGTCGCTGGACGCCAAGGCGGAGGCGACCGCCTGCGCGAGCGGGCGCTCGTGCGTGACTGCTTACCCCCTGAAGGAGTACGCGGGGGTCATCTGGGTGTGGGGCGACGCGTCGCCGGGCGCCGCGGCGGAGGCAGGTGAGGCGACCACATGAGTGTGCCGCCGTGCCCTCGGGGTGCGGCTGAGGTGCTGCTGCCGGCCCGCGCTGCCGGGCGGCTTGAGTACAATTTAGCCGTGCAAAGTGCGCGTTCCGCCAAGCTCTCTGTGCCGTCGCCGTTGTCACCCCTCTGCCAGCTGTGACGCGCCGTCGCTGCCGCCGGCTCGCCGCGCCCCCCGTTTGCAGAGGCGACGCCCCTGCCTGTGCCGCGGGGACTGCAGCAGCATGCTGAGGCCGGTAGGAGGATCAACTGGTGCGCAGGGGTAGCAGAGGCAAGGCTGACTTGGCCGCCTGGGTCCTTGTGTACCAAGGGTGTCTTGCCGATCGGAGGAGTGCCAGACTTGCCAGTGACCCTTGCAATGTCGGGCAGAGGGCCCAGCGGAGGCCCCGGCAGAGGGCTCGGCAAAGGGCGCAGCAGAGGGCCCGGCAGAGGTTTCAGGGTGACGAGGGAAGTGCTGGTTGAGGCACCTCGTTGCAAAAGGCTGGTCGGTATGCTCTGAAGTGCTGGGCCTCCCTGCAGGCGACGCCGCTCTGCGATGCGTTGTGATCCTCTCACGCATGGCTCAAGGATTCCCGGGGGGTTTGGTACGGGCGTCGGAAGGAGGCGCCGCACCATCTGATGCCGATGCGGTGCGCTCTGATGCGGGTGCGGTGTGGTCTGAAGCGGAGTTCGGTACGGCCCTCCGCGCGCCCTTGTCAGGTACCGGCGGGAGCTGCCGTACAGCTGGGATGTACTGCTGGAGAACGTGACAGGTGAGGCAGCGACCCCCCCGCCTGGCCGCCTCGCCCCCACGCGCTGGTTGTTGTGGTCGACTTCGCAGGGCTCGCGCAAGCGTGCTGTTTGGGGGAAGAGGGTGAGGCCCGCGCGTGCCCGCCGCTGGCTGGCAGGGATGGCGCCCCCCGGGCGGCCGGCCGGGCCGCTGCTGCCACGTTCGCCCCACCTGGCCCATGCCTTCACTCTGTCAAAGCTGCCTCCCCTTGGACTCCACCCTCCCCCTCGCCTGAATGGCCGCCTCACCTCGCTTTGCCGGGCGCAGATCCTGCGCACTTGCCGCACAGCCACCACCGCCTGTCACCCACGCTCACGCGCGACAAGGCCGGCCCCATGCCCTTCATCAAGCAGCAGCAGCCGTCGCAGGGCGGCGCCGCAGACGATTCCAGCGGCGCTGCGGTGGCTGCGGAGGCGACGGCGCGGCCGCTGTACGCGTTCGAGCACGCGCCGCCAGTGGGATCGTTCGCGTTCCCATCAGCGCTGAGCCCCAACGGCGTCGTAGCCTACAACGCCCCCTGCAGGTCGGCGCCAGCCGCAAAGCGCGATCGCTGCCTGAGCGGCCGGCCCGCCGGCCGGTCTACCGGTTTTGCCAGCGCCTGCAGTCCCCGTGCGCGTGACTGAGGCGAAGCGCGGGCGCTGCTCGCCTGTGCCCTCAAGCTATCGTCCTGCCTCACTTCCATGTGCTGTGATGTGGGGCACCTCCTCTGGCGACCCCTGCCCTTGTCTCTTTCTGGAGTGACGTGTGCGGCGCCGGGCCCCTCCCCCAGCAACCCTCCTACGCCTTGCTCTCCATACTTCCACGCCCCTGCCCTCCTCCCAAGCGGCCACGCCCTTCGGCCGGCCTCCTCCCCTCTGTCCGTCCGGCCCTACCACCCCTACAGCAATCCCTTCGCCCCTCCTTGCCTCCTCTGCGCGCGAACCCCTCCGACTTCGCAGCGTGGTTTATGAGTACGCGCTGCCCGGGGGCGCCTGCATGTGGACGCTGGTGAGGGGCGGGGCCGGCCGCACCAGCCGCGCAGGGGCGCGCCCGGCGGGAGGGCCGGTCGGGCCGGAGGGCAGTTTGTTCCGCACACTGGAGGGCGGGGGAGGCGGCCGCTCCCGCCGCCCGCGAAGGCGTATCCCTCGGCTAGCGTGATGGAGGCAGGCGTCGCTTTCACACTTGCTGGCTACCTCGAGAAGGGGTTGTCCATAGTTCAGAAAGAGAACACAGCAGTCTCTCCTGAGCCCCTCGTCCTCACAACTGTTTTCGGATTGCAGATCTACGGGACGCCCTGCGGCCCGGGCCGCTCCATCGTGATGACTGCGGGCTTCAACAACCGCCCCCCGGCCATGTGGGGCGACCTGGCCAAGACGGTCCTCACCAACTGGAAGGCGCTCAGGCCGCTGCTCATGCGGTGGGTGCGGCGGCAGGCCCCGCCGGCCCCGCTTTGGCAACAGGGAATCTTGCAAGTTCCCCTCGAAGTGTGCATCCCCTCGGATTCGTGGGCAAGCGTGTGCTGGCCGACCCGCCTCCAAGCCAAACCCCAGCAAGATAGCCCCAGCTACCTCCTCAACCACCACAGCCGCCTCAACTACCATGTTGACCGCCCCCTCGGCTGCCTCGTCAACCTGGCCCCCCTCCCCAGGCTGTATTTCCAGGCGATACCATCATGGAAGGGCCACATGATCAGCAACAAGCTTTTCGACATGGACAACGTGCGCGGTGGCAGGCCCTCAACTAGATGCACTGATGCATGTCGCCCGTCGACTGCACAAGCGCGGCGTCCTTGGCCGAGGTCTCTGCACCGCATCCGCGGCCGCTGTGCTTGTTGCCCCTTTCGCCCATCAGCGGGGCCCTGTCGGCGGCCAGTCTGTGGTGCAATGGTCCTTGTCCTGCACACAGGCGCAATCTTGCTGCTACTTACGCCCCTCGCCCCTCTCAACGCAACCCGTCTCTACTCCTCAGGTGTTCCTGCACCAGCAGGTGCGCGTTTGGAAAAAATGCCACGACGGATGGAGATATCCGTTATGGCAGCGTCGGGCCGCGCTCTGCAACCTGCCGCGCACGCGTGCGCGGCCGCTGCAGCTCAGACACACCGTCCGCACGCGCCTCGACCCTTTTTGCGTCCCCAACCATGCGCCACGCCTCGTGCTGCCTGCTTTTATGATCTCATCCCGCTCTCACGACCATTGTCACTCCAGGACATCCTGTTGGAGCAGCGCGGCCGCGGGTCCTGGGCCAGGGATTACTACATGCCGGAGCAGTGCGACTCGCTGGTCGTCGCAAGTGAGTGCACTCGGGACCCACGCGGGCCCGATGCCAGACGCATGGGGGACCCATGCAGGACCCATGCAGGCGCGCCTGGGCGCGACTCAAACTACCCGGGAGGTGCAGCCCAGGCGGGGCGCAGCAGGTTGGGGTGCCCCTGGGCTGCACCTCCCGGGGCGGGGGACGCGCGACCTTAGAGCGAGGGCTGGATACGCCTTGAAGAGCGCAGAAGACTGTGCATATTTTAGTGAACAGCAGCTTTGCCCAAAAGTTGCTGCCACCACAGCACACGCCCACGCATCGCCCCCTCAGTTGCCCAGCCGCTCCTCCCCATCCACCCACTAATCCAACCTCCTGCCCTGAGTGCAACCCCTGCTCCTCATTTGCCTCCTGGCCCCTCCCAAGCCCACGCACGCTCTCACGCGGCCCCCCTCCCCATCTTCTCATCCGAAACACGCACATCCTGCACACACTCAACCCAGCCCGCAAGTGGATTGACTCCAAGGCAGGCGGCGGCCCCGACTACGGCCCCGCCGCCGGCCCCATCAAGCCGCTCTCCAAGCGAGACCTGCAGGACAGATGGGCGCAGCACACGCAGCACTGCGTCACCTGCCTCGCCGCCATGGCGGCCGTCCGGCGGCGCGCGCAGGTGGCCAAGGCGGCTGCGACGGTGCTGTTCGCCGGGCTGTGCGCGGCGCTGGGCACTTTCGGAGGTGAGTGGGCCACGCCGCCTCTTGCGTGTTGCAGAGGGGTGCGGTCGCTTCCTGAGCCGCGCCCTTTGTCAGTGGGTGGGGCCCGTCTGCGGAGCGGCGCTGAATGCCCCGCAGTGACGCGGCCGCGAGTGCGAGCGTCGGCCCACCCCGCACCCTGCAAAGCTGCGCCCGCCGGGGGCCTCCCTCGCGCAGCGTGGCCTTGACACCATCACGCCGCCTCTGACGAGCAGCGGTCGCGTGCCGCCTCGCAGTGCCGAGGATCCTCGCGGGCGGCGCGCCCGCGCTGGTCGCCGCGGCGGCGGCCGCGGGCGCCGCGGTGGCGCTCTGGGTGGCTAGGCGCGCGGCCGCGGCGCTGGATCAGTTCACGCACGTGGAATTCACTCACGCGGACAACCATTGACGACCGCCTCACCTGCAGCATATCGCCGTGGCAGAGGTGTGGCTGACGCCGCAGGGGGGGGGGGGGCAGCAGAACGACGCCACCCTTCTCCAAGAGTGGGATGGGTGTTTGCTTGGTGAACTTACTTGCTGCCTCCCAGATTCTCACTGGCGGCCCCAGTTGTTTTTGCTGCTGAAACCACGCAGCGAGTCTAGATTGACAGGTTTGAGATCTTGTGCAGCGCCCCGCATGCACATTTGAATTCATTGTGCCAGGGCTCTGCACTGTTTGTTGCCTGCAGCACCACTTTCTTTGGTTCCTCTGCAATAAGCCCAGTCAAAAAACGTAGCGATGCCGACGAAGCAGGGGGATTCAGGACAACGTGCTGCGCTAGCAGATGCACGGCAGACACCCGGGCTAACGCCACAGCCCAAGTGCAGCCCTGTGACGCTGCTCCTCCAGTGGACTCCGCCTGCATGATTGTACAAGCTGGGGCGTAACTCTCAGAGTCTGCTGACGAGGAATGACGTCAGCATTGCGGTACTCTACCAGCTGCTGGCGGCGAAAGTAATGACCAGCCATGAGATCCCGCAGGTCGCCCTTGCTCGAGAGCTTGCCCTCAATTCCAATGTGATAGCTGAAGTCGATCTGAGGCTGGCACGGCTTTTAGGCGATGTCCTGCTGCCCACGTGACGGCGGCCTCCTGACAGTGTTGTGTGTGTGCCCAACGACTTCCATCAAACCCAAGGCGACTCCCCCGCAGGCTGCAGGGGCGGCGCTGGGCGCTGGCGGCACGTGAGCGTGCGCGGGTGGCGCTGGGCGGGCAGCGCTGGAGGCAGCGAGACTGCTGTCAGGAGCTGGGTCTATGGGAGCAAGCTACCAAATCCTCAAGCTGCTTCCTTTTGGAAAGGTCAGGAATACCATATTACAGCTCGTGTGAAAGCAGCTGGCAAGTTACGCAAAACAAAGGAGGTCCAAGATGCAATATGGATGATCGCGTGCATACAGGCGCTGGACGGGGTGCGCGGTTTTGAGCATCAGCTACTCGCACCTGTTCAGCCGCCCCGCAGGGATCAAACTCGCTCGCGCGTCTCCTTGTCACATGTATACGCGCATGCATACGCACACACATGCGGCAGTTTGCTGGTCTGCATGCGGCGACGCTCGCCTCCATCCCCAGAGTCCTGCCAGCAACGTACCACCCTGCCATGTGGGTTGCACCTGCTGCTCGTCAAAAGGGCTGGCCAGTCGAGGCCCGCAGCCTGGGTGGCGGTTATTGTGTGATTGCATCCAGTCGCGGGGGGAGGGGGGGTGGCGTCAGGGTGATGTCAGCACTACCCTGGGATATCATAACTGCTTGAGAGTTGACCTTGCGTGTCGCGGAAGGCAAGGGGCGGGCAGTGCCCACTGGGTGCAGCACATGGCAGCACCAGCAGCACTCACACGCAAGCCGTGAGGGAGAGAAAGCGATGTTTGACACCAGTGCTGTGCTGAGTTGTGTGTCCGCACCCACCTGTTGTAGGCCTTGCCATAGGGGTGCACTGTTGAGTTCAAGGCAGTACACCAGGGCATAAATTGTGTGCGTATGTGTGTGTGTGTGTGTGAGAGAGAGAGTGTGTGTGTGTGCATGTGTGTGTTTGTCTCCTCGCATGCGCGTGCATGTGCACGTACATATGTGTTCATGTTTGTATGACCCGCCAGCTTTTGTGTGTAGGGCATCGATCTGCGCTTGAGCCCAGAGAACAACCCTGCCCACATCCTGGTGGCTTCGCAAGCAAAGGCACAGTGCAGTTGCAAAGCTGCTTCTAAATGAGGTGCCAAGCCCAAGTTTGTCCCAGCTGCAGCAGATGGGCATGGCGCACTCGGGGCTGCGCCAGCAGCGGTGGGCCTCCCCATTGCGGCTGCTCACCGCAGCGGTATGACTGGGTAACGACATGGGACGGCAGCAGGCAGTGGTGGCCGTTGACCACGCCGCACATCGTGCCTGCGCAGGGGAGCACCACGCGAACAAGGGGGCGGGGAAGGGGCCAGCGCGGCGCGTTGGTCGTCATTTGTCACGCGAGAACTTGTCCTGCATCTTGGACCAAGAATGAAGCACGCGTCAGAGCTTTCAAGTCATCACGGGCCATGCACCATTGGTTGTGAGCACAGGGCAAGCCCGATGTAAGACGGCCCAAGCCTGACCCATTTTCAGGTTCATGGCGGAGCTGGTGCGCCGCCCATCAGCAGCGGCTGTGCTGGGGCCGCCCCTGCCTCCCCCGTCATACTGTTATAATAGAAATCAAAGCTGACCGGTGAAGCCGGCGAACGCGGCGTCCGCGGCGTGTTGGCCGAGAGTCTTTGCCAAGACGTGGTCAGCAGATCCAGATGCCGTCGCCTGCGCGTGCCGGCAGCGACGGGGCGCTCGTCAGCCGCAACGGCCCCTGCCGCCCGCCCCTGCCCAGCCGAACCCGGCTCCGGCGCAGTCCGTGCCGCGCAATCCGGGACCAAGAACGAGAGGACGCCCGGGGCCCTGCGGACGGCAGCGGCCCGCCGCCGGTCCTGCCGACGCCCACACCGGCTGGCTACGTAGGTGCACACTGTAACAATACGATTGCCCTCTACATAAATCCCTGCCCACCTCTACCAGGTACGTAGGGTCAATGTATTTGCAGTCAACCTCCCCCAGGGCGCCACCCTTGAACAGGCCCTTGAGGTGGGCCCCGATGTCACGCAGGACGGGGTTGCCCGCGTCGTCCAGCGGCCGCGGCTCGTCGTCTGGCGGGCCGGCGGCGTCCAAGAGAGCGGATGAGAGAGGGGTGGTTGGAGGCGGGTGAAAGTGCGGCGAGCTGGAGACAGGCTGGACGAGATGGCCTCAAGCGGAGCGGTGTCTGGAGTCCCTCGCTCGAAACAAAGGAAAGCCTCTCCGATGCATCCGGTCCAACCAGCGGTCAAACTTCGGTCAACTGGTCCAACTTCACCTCGACACACCCCACCTTCTGACAGCACACAACGGATCCAACTCAGCCCCACACGCCTCACACCCAACCCCCGTTATAACACACCTCATCTTCATTCCACTTCCGCGACCGATTTCCTCCTGCTCAAGCGCTGCCCCCCCGTGTTGCCTGCCCGTCCCACGTATTTCTTCTGGAGCGGGCCCGCCCACCTTTGAAGAGCAGGTGCTGGCCCGCCCCCTCAGCCACGCACACCACCGCGTGTCCGCGGTCGTCCAGCAGCCGCCTCAGGTGGTTCAGCAGCGCCGGCACGTCCACCTTGACCTTTGGGGGGGGGGCGCAGGGAGGGGAGGGGAGGGCAGGACACGAGCTGGAGTGTTAAGCGAGTGAGGGTGAGAGGGTAGGGCTGCGTTTACAAGCTCAAAATACTTGCGGTGTGTGTGCTTGTGCGTGCATGCATGCGTGCGTGCGCTTGCGTGCATGCGTGTGCGTGCATGCAGGTATGCATGGTCCAGGCAGGGATTGGTGACATGAACGACTTCTGATTGGGTAAAAATGTGCAGCCCAAGGACGAGCTCGCGGCCCCCGGCCCGCCTGCAACTGGCCCCTACGCCGTGCCGCTGCGCCGGCTCCCCAGTCAGGCGCCGCACAGCCAAGAGCAGCACCCGCTCCCTCCCAACGTCGCCGCCGCACACAACATCGCTCTCCTGCCACCCCCCAGTCTGCTCCTGACCTCGCCTTTCTCCACCCCACCCCCGGGTCACTGTGCCATCGCTCAGATTCATGCAGGCCCTGTCCGTCATTTTCTGCACAAGCAAGCGCGCATGCACCTCTGGGATGAGGCAGGCGTCCACCACGCCAGATGCGAGGGAGGCCTGGAGCGTGAGAAAACCAGAGCGGCGCCCAAACAGCTGGCGGGGCGGGCGCGGAGAGGGGGCGGGGCTTCGTTGCGGCTGTTCAGGTTCGGGTTGCGGCAGCGCGGGCGCGCTGGACGCAAGCGTCGGTGGGGGGGCTAGTGGGATGTTGGGGTGCAGGTGGAAGGCGACGCTGCTGCTGCGAAACGGGGAGGCAGGCAGGGGGAAGGGGGGGTCCCTTGAACGGGGCAGGCACGGGGTGTGGGTTGACCGAGTCAACGCTAAAAGCTGACCTTTTGGCACCAAGGAAGGCTGAGCGGCCCGCCGGCTTTTGAGCGATGCGAGGTTTGCTGTGGCATCACATTCCCCAACCTCGTTTGACGCAAAAGCCGGTGCTGCAGCCCCGAAACAGCGATTGCTGCCCTACCCAAGACACCGCAGGCTTGCAACAGCAACACCCCCGCTTGACGCCGATCAGGCATCGCTCACATGCAGTTGTGGCATTGCGCATGCCCCTGCTGGCCTGTTGCTATGCCGATGGCCGCCCCCGTGTCAGCGTCCCAAAGGGTGACACCACCAACACAACGCGCGCGTGTGCAGCTGCCGCGCACCTTCACGAGGCCGATGCCTCTGAGCGCGCTGGATGCCTCCGTCTTCGCCGCGAGCAGCGGCAGCTGCGCCTGCTCAACCGCCGTGTCGAAGCCGAAGCTCTTGTCCAGCTTTGGGGGGGGGCCAGCAGTTTGGGGTGGGTGCGTGGTCACTCGGCCGCAGGGCGGCACCACGAGGGCGATGCGGGGCGCACTGCGGCACTTGAGGGGGGCAAAGCAGCGGCGTGTGCAAAGTAGCAGCCCGCCTGCGGCCCAATCTACCGCTGCTCTTCTCGAGGCTCTGTGGGCACCAGATGCGGCATCGCGCTCGCCTCGCGCTGCCCTGTGCAACCTTGGTCCCCGTGCCGCCCCCGACCACCCGCCGAGCTTCCCACGCTGGCTCGCCCCTGGGCTCGTCACCGGTAATCTCCCGAGTCCCAACCTGATTCACCCACGAGCAAAAAGTCGTTGTCGATGGACTTTGGCACGCCCATCACGACGCACGGCACCTCCTCCACAGCACACCAGTGGGCCAGGTCTGGGAGGCGGGGGCGGACGGCGCGCCGAGGGGCCTCAGGCGTGCGGCGACCACCCCAAACATCGCCGCGCCACGCAGGTCTGCTGGGGCTGCAAACGGGCGCGTTCTGTGCCAGGCCAGGCCCCACAACAAGCCGCTGCATTGAATGCGCGATTGCCATGCCATCGCTTTGGCCTTGCGAATGCGCTGTGTCGCGCCGCCTGGACCTTCCAAATCATGGCCACACGACAGGAGGCACATGCAACAGATGGCTGACGCACAGAGCGCCAAAGAGCCGCGTGCAAAGCTGTCTCTTCACACAATGCTGCTCCTCGCACCTGCTCCAAGCACGTTACCGCCCTCCCCGCCTGCAGGGTTCGGGGCGCAGAGAGATGGAAGCAGAGAAATGAGTGGAGGGAAGCGAGAGGTGGGGGAGGGCCCCGCGAGGTGGGGGAGGGCCGGGCCGGGCCGCTCAGGGTCAGCCCCGCTGTCAGGGCGCGGGAGGGGTGGGAGCCTCGCAGCCCGGCAGCGATTGACGGCCTCGGAGCGATTGGTGCCGCCGCCACATGGTTGCCACCACGTGACAGACACAGTCCAGCGGTCGGCACCCCGCACTGGCCGCGACACGCACCGTGCGCTCGGGGACGCCCGTCGGTCCATCACCAACCC